AAGTAAAACAATATGGTTATGAATTCTAATAAATGTAATTACATATGTTGCAAACAAAACAAAAAAGCAATCTCTCGAAGTTGCTGAAACAGAGGGTGGGTCTTGGACTAGCTGCAGTTCCACATCGATGTGTATAATTAATGTTTTTCAAGTAATCATCGGAGAATGTTTGAAACTTTTAAAAACGTACTACAAATTTGAATTTTAAAGGTAAGACGTATACATGAATTGATATACACATTATAAAACACTCATCATCAATAATTAAGCAGACTAATTCGAACCGATTTGTAATGCTTGATTTCACCATTTTGATGTGTCAGTGGTGGTGATATGTATTCCTCATGCAAAAGCATGAATATTTTTTATATTCCGATTTCACTATCTTCTTTGAAACCAAAACCGAATCATTCGTTGGTTTTATTTTCACTAATAACAATCATTTATTTGAGTTAGACATACCATACAGTCCAATTATATCTCTTCTATGTTTCAATATGGAAACATCACGCCAACATTTAACACAAAATTTAAATTAACAAAATAGTTAAAAAAATAAAATCTGAATGTGTTGAATTACAGAAAATAAGCAAAGGCTGTAATGTACTAAGAGTTGTTTCCGAATCAACAAGCTCTCACATTCTTTGGGTTCCATAATTTTTCTAACCAACTTCCTTCACAACCATCAAGAACCTTCTTGTTCTTCTCTTCCTCGTCTCTAGAAGCTTCTAGACTCTTCAGCGGAACGAGCTGCTGCGTCTTTCTACCATTCCCAGGCGAAGAAGCTTCCACAATCTTTGTCACCATCTCTAACACCTCACTCATCTTTGGACGCACCTTTGGGTTCCTAGCAAGGCAAAGATTGGCTACAACCGCTAGTCTCTGGACCGATTTGATCAAGTATTTCCCTTCGAGCCTCGGGTCTACTATAAGCCTGAACCTTTTTGTGTCAGTTAAGTAAGGTCTCACCCATTCTAGAAGCTTCTGCTCTCCTTTAGGCCTGTTCTTGTCTAGCGGCCTCCTTCCTGTTATGAGCTCGTATATGAATACTCCGTAACCCCATACATCGCTTTTTGACGTGAGACGACCGGTTTGGATATATTCTGGAGCTGCGTAACCCATTGTTCCTACTACCTGTTCAAACCCGGAAAAAAAAAACAGAACTTTATCGATATGGCGAAATGATTCTATAACCAAATCAAGTGAAAATGTATAAAACTTACACCAGTAGAAACATGGGTTGATCCTGGTGAAGGACCTAAGCGAGCCAAACCGAAATCCGAAAGCTTTGCTTTCCAATCCTCGTCTAACAGAATGTTGGAGGACTTGAAATCGCGGAATATTATCTACAAAGACGAAACATATGTTAGTTAACTGATGAGAGAAATGGATGAAGTTTAAAAAACAGAGGATTCCATGTTCCTTACTTGGAAGTCCATTTCTTCGTGGAGGTATGTTAAACCCCGAGCTGCGTCTTGGGCTATTCTCAGTCTAAGGTCCCAAGTAAGTACTGTTGGTGACCGAGGAGCTAAATGGAACTCGACACTTTGGTTTGGCATATATTCATAAACCAAAAGCCTTTGGATTCCACGTTCATCGTCTTCTGCGCAATGACCCAACAATTTCACCAAGTTTGGATGCTCGACTACCCCAAGAAAGTTAACTTCAGTCACCCATTCCTTATGACCCTGCAACCCTCTTTTGCCAAGCTGTTTAACCGCAACTTCAATTTTCTTTGACGGGTCTTCTAAGTTCTTGATAGTTCCCCAATAGACACAACCGAAACCACCTTCCCCTATCATACCAGACCGGCTAAAATTCTTTGTAGCGGATTTAAGATCAGCAATGGTGAACTCTCTGAGGTTATTCTCTCTACCGGACATGTTCGGGTTCGAGTTCCTCCCAGTGGATGACACCGTACTCGTCCCAGAGGCATCCCGAGGACTAAAATCCGACCCGCCGCTCTTGCTTACTCCACGGTCAGAGAAGTTAGACGTCGGTGAAACCGGTTTCGGACTCCTCTGCTCCTCTTTCTTGTCTCCAAGAGAGAAAAAGAAGCACCTCATTTTCACACAGTGAGTAAAACACCCCACTGAATCACACAAACGAATTAGAGTGAGAACGTTTTATAAGTTCGTTGAAGCATTTAATCAAACAAGACAAAGTCATAAATCACTTAACCAGACTAGAAAACACATAATCAAAATTGAAGAACATCCATTTTCTAATTTCCCAAGAATCAAATGCAATATTTCCTTGTTCGAATCATTCAAAATTTGATCTTTGAATCCAACTGATGAAAAACACAGGATTATTTCTAAACCCCAAATTCTGCAACGAACCCTAAATTTCAAAGTTATTTACATATTGAAAGCAATCGCAAGTTGATTCATTTATACTGAAAAGACAAACTTTTTCCTTTCTTCACCTAAACAACAATTCAAAGAACTACGAATTTCGTGAAGAAGGGTATAAAGTAACTTTGGAGAACTCACCTTTGAGATCTTTGTGTGCAAACAAAGGGAAAAAAACCAAAACTTTTTCCAGAAATTGAAGGAATTTAATCACAAAACGAAGAAATTTCAGAAACAGAATTGGATTGTCGAATTGAAAAAGAATATATGAGTAGAAATAAAAGAATGGATGTTATGATTTGAATTGGGAACTAAAAGTCGA